CTCCTTTACCTCTTGCGACTGATTTTTCCACCTAGTACATATAATCTTACTCAGACGTTTAAGATTATAATGTAGTAAAAATCAGCACAAATGCGAGTTCCAGAAAGGACCATTCTGACCTGGGTAGCAGGGGGTTGGCTACTGGGGGCATGGTGGTGGACGAAGGGATGATTGTTGTGTGGGCCTCTGCTGTGGTGTTGAACAGAAATCCCACCAGGCCGCAATTGCACCAGAACCTAGTGATCCTATCATTCCCATCCCCGAATTCCTTGCATGTTGCCTTGCCTACAAATTTGAAAAACAAAATCAAGTGAAAACACCACACATATACGCCCACTCAATATTCAAAACCAAACTTAATCATCACCCTGAATAACTATAAATGTCATTTTAATAACAACAAACAATGAAGAAAACGATAAATTAAATCAAAATAACTCACAGAAACAGACCCTAAACCTATATTGAAAAAAAAAAAAAAAAAAAAAAAAAAAAAAAAAAAAAAATATAAAATACATTAATAACTATCAAGATAGTGTAAACCTCAATTCTTCTAAAGCAAGAAAGAAAGAAAGAAAGAATCCAACCTGCAATAGACTTGATTGAAGACTAACTCAAGACATTAACAACTTCTTCGTTTTTATCTAACACAGGTTTAGGATTGTGTTCTTAAAACATTTTAACTCAATTCAACCAAATGCAGTGTATTTAAATATTACATCAGATGGACCCTAAAAATACGTATAATTTCAATTATTCTAAACACAAACCTGCAATGGACTGGAATTAGATAATGAATCAGGCACGTTAACTCCAGTCCGGCCAAGCTACCAAACTGCTGACCGAAAGAAGCCGAGAAGGACGGTGTGGGTTGCGAAGAAGACGCCGCAGGGCGGGGGCCGGAACGCCAAGGGCAATGCCACCCTCTGCGGCGCGGAAGCAGAGGAAGACGGAGAAGAAGAAGGGGAAGAAGGAAGGGAAGAGAAGTGAGAAAAATGTGAGGGCTGTTGTTGTTGTGCTGCTGCCAGGGTCTGGAAAAGAGGTCGGTCTGGGTTTGGGGGTTGGGGTGATTAGAGTTAGGGTTAGGGTTTGATGTAGGGGTTGAGGAGTGAGGTGGTGGAGGGTAACGGTGGTGATGGTGATTCTTGTTGTGTGGCGGTGGTGGTTGTAAGGGTGGTTCAGCGGTGGTGGTGGGAGGTGTAGGAGTTTGTGGTGGTGGTGGTTGTTGTTGGTCCATGGAGGAGTGGAGGAAAATTGGGATGAGGATGTTCTGGGAATTATGGTATGGCTCTCTCTGGGTGTTAGGAAATTGTCTCTCGCCCGCTTTATGCAAAAATGGCTCGTTTAAGTACGAGATTCATATTTTGTTTAAATTTAGCTGGGTTATGCTTTATATCTCCCTGACCATGAAATAACAAAAACTTAAATAATAAAATATTAAAATAAAAAATTTATTATCAGTTTCCACTTTAAACGTTCACCGAAAATCTAAATTGCTAACTGGGAAGGCGCCTTTCTTCGAAAATATTGGATTACTTAAAATATGGATTATTAAAATATTAGATTACTTTAAAAGATTATTCTTAAAGAGTATTAAAGAATATATTTGGTTAGTTAAAATAAATTTATGGGTTTATATAATATATTTAGTGAGAGAAATAAATTTGGGTAAATTTATATTATATATTAGTTGAGAGAAATAAATTGAGGGGATATTATTTAATTATTAAATTACCTCTTTTAAATATTAATATAAGATTCTGCAAGTTTCAAATTCTGATTTTTTACTACGAGATTTTGGCTTTAATATCACTATTTTGATCACTTGGAATAATCTTCAATTATATTTGCTTTCACTAACTAATTAGATGCTTGGCTCCCCCACATTTTCTCCATTTTTTTGTCTTCCGTCTTCTTTGGTTGTCATTACTGGTGCAAGACAATGATGGAACGCTTCTTGTAGTGGGCTCTTTGCAAGGAGGTAGCGCGTTGGCATGCAGTTAACTCAAAGTTCATGGTCAAAGTCCAAAAAAGGAATGTAGTAATCCACAATACATTCCAATTCGTACTGGACTTCTACTTTTCAATTGTAACTCATTCACCCTAATTTTCTAATTTTTATTATTTTTTATAATAAATCCAAAAATACCCCAATACCCTAAAGATGCGTTTGGTTTAGAAAATGTTGGATTACTGGAAAGTTAAGATTACCTTGAAAATTACTGCGAATCTTTAGGAAAATGTGTTTAGTTAGTTGAAATAAATTGGTGGGTATGTTATATTAATATGTTTAGTTGGGAGGAATAAATTGATGGGTATATTATTTAAATTATTAAATTGTCCTCTTTTTAAATATTATTTTTATTATTAATTTTTTAATAATTTTCTTAACCCCCAACATTTCAGATTTAGCTAAAACACCCCCACTTATATAAAACTTTATATTATAACAAAATCACCCCCCACCACCCCAAGCCACTGTTTGCCACTTCCATCTGCCGTTTTGAGTCGCCGAAAGAAGCTAGAAAACGCACCGTTTAGATCGAGTGACCTTGGGCAGAGGAGACGTGATATAGCAGCAGCGGAGATGTTGGAGACTAGAATAGATCTAACCGTTAATAGCCAAATATCTATGATATGGCCGTTAAGGGCCATGGATCTGGTCGTTAACGGCCAGATCTGCTCCGATATGGCCTTTTCAACCATCAATATTGCCAAAAAAGGCCATATTGGAGCCTCTCGATGTCTTTCGACTATTCACGGCAATTCCAGGTGATCTTCGACGACTTTATGCGGCGGCCGGCGGTGGTTTGGCTAGCGGTAGGTGGGTGGGGGTGGTGGCTTGGGTAAGCTACAATTTGCTTTGATTTCAAGGGTAACTTTGTCCAAAAAGTTAATTAATTGGGATGAAATGGTAAAAGCAAGATTCATGTAAATAAATTTAAAAATAAGGGTATTATTGTCCTAAAATTTTATTAATAATGGATAGAATTGTAACAAAAATAAGATAGAATTGTAACAAAAATAAAATTACCTTGGTAATCTTACAATACCTAAGAAAATGGAGAATATCATATTATCTTCAATATTACCAACAGTAACTACTACTGGTATTTGAAGATTACTGGAATCTTATATTACTTGACAACCAAGCGTGGTAATCAAATAATATAAGATGACATAACCCTAATAATCTCATATAACCCCCAACCAAACACCCCCTAAGAGTACAGTGATTCTCTAAAATAATGTAAAAAATTGTTAAATAAATAAAAATGTTTTATTTGTATTGCCATCATAAATCTCATTTATAATACATGTGAATATGTACATACATCAATGGTCAAGGTTCTAGAGCTACATTATAAGATAAAATCTACATTTATATGAAGGGGTCATATATGAGAGATATAAGATTGAGTAATGCTACAGTTACCGACGAGTGTGCACCGAATGACGTGACAAAATCATGACCATTAATTTATTATCAGTTAATATTAATCAACGGTCAGGATTTTGTCACGTCATTCGGTGCACAAATTCGATGTAAACTTTTCGGTAACTCTATCATTTTCCTATAAGATTTTATCGTAGCTCAAAATTATGTTCACAACCATTGAACATGAGTTGGACATTCTGTTTTTATAAGGTTGATGTGTTTTTGTCTTCATGGGGGTGATGAGTCTCGATTTGCTAAAATGAAGATTTTAGGACAAAAACACTAGTGTATTTGATGTGCATTGAATTGGACCAAGTGAAATTTATAATTATATATAACTACCGTAACAGAAAACATAAGCTTCACACCTTAGCAACTTAGGCATGGACCTTTGATTTGTAGATTGCCGTCTTTGATTAGAATAGAAGGTAAGGCCTTGTTGTTTAATAGGTCAATACCCTAACTGATTGAGATTGTAGTTATATGGGTTTGAGAACACTATCCCATGATACGGAATTCATAACTCTAAAAAGGTTAAAAGATACCTTCTTGTGGGTTTGAGAACACTATCCCATGATATGGAATTCATAACTCTAAAAAGGTTAAAGGATACCTTCTTGTGGGTTTTACAGGTCCTGAATGATGAGACTTCTTTAAGCGTTTAATCATTAATGAAGTCTATTTATTAAACATTTATCATTCATTGGATGTAAAACTGGACACAAGAAAAAGATGTAACCTAAAAGGTATATTGGCATATCAACGATTATCAGTGTTCTATATGAGGATATATGTGCAATTGTCGCTAAATGATACATTTTAATGAGATAATTTAATGAGATTAAATTATTAAAGTTTCTGATAAACATAATATTTAATTCAAAAAATGATTCTTAAATTATATTTTATTTCACCCATCTTACATTTTTTTTCATCCTGATAATTACCATATTTTAGTCATTTGCAGTCAATATAGAGATACAAGAAGGATCTTTGTTCCTTTTTCAGAACTGTTTAAAATGCGCCTCACCTCTGCAGGAGGAGGAAACCACATGAGAATTTGCCAGCAAAATGGGACTTCCCACTACATAAAAAAGTCGGTGGCCGGAACATACCTAAGGCATGAATCTTAGAAATTTTATAGTTTCTCCCTACTTGTAGCTTAGCATCAGAATACTACACAAAATATCCAAGCAAACACACATGCATCCAGAGTCAACCTGAAAAATCTCGGTTCCATCCATCTATCCCACCAATTATTCTTTTCTCAAAGTTTAACCTGCATGAAATAAAAATTACTAAGACACGCAAGAGAAAACACAATCTTCTACAGAAAAAATATAAGCACTAAACATGGTGCTGCATAATAAATCAAAAATCTATTTATGCAGACAACTTCATTCTAGATTTGTACATTTTGCTCCAAAAAACATCATTTCACTCAAGAACCTGAACTCAGAATCCTCAATGCAAATTATCATCAAACTAAATGTGGTCTAGTTAGAAAGCCCTAGACAGGTCAAGTAATATATTGATGTCTTTCAAAATTAATGAAGGCCAAAGCAAATATCGTACCAGCTAGAAATTACCTATTTCAGCAACTTGTTAAACCCCACACATTTCTCATTTGAGTCTTGCATGTTTAACACTATTTGGTTCTTGAAAAGATGATGTCTTTCAAGCTTATAGCTTTCTGTCTAGACAACTAGAGGACGAGAATTCTATCCACTGTTTGTTTTATTTCCTTTAAAATATTTTAAAGCAGTGAAAGAAATGAAAATGAGAAAACCGAGAGAGATGAGAAAATGATTGTGGCTATGGCTTATCAACAATAATTTCAGGCTTCCGTTTCATCAACGGTTGTGGAGAGGATCTCAGAGCTGTAGAATTCAACAATTCCAGAGGTAAGATAATTTCTAGGGTTTATCAGATTCTGGATACCAATAGCTTTGGCATTTTGTTTCGATAAATTTCTACTCATCAAAAGGTAATCTGAACTGGGAAGACATCCTTCTGTTTAGCATAAAATATAGCAAATTCTACATTCAAGGTCAGGTAGGAACTGAAAGGACAAGCTACATACCAGCAAGAAATACCTGAAATGTCCAATGCAAATTAGCATCTACAATAAGCAATAATTGTCTCTAAATAAAAAATAGTTCCTTCTTTTAAGCAAAAAAAAAAAAAAAAGTAAGCAATTCATTCCATGTATTCATGACGCTTATATGTAAATTTGTATATATGCACATATGATTATAAAAATAAAAATAAAAATAAAACATAACTGCATAAGTTAACATTATATCAAACCTATAATTAGAAGCATCTGGTTCTCTTAAAACATATACTGATATTTTTCGAGACTCCATATTTAGGAGCATTACTTGTTTTTCAATAGTTAAATAATCCAACATCATGAATACATACTTATTTTTGGGTACTTTTATCATTTAGAGGTCTAGTTCATTCTTAATGTGATTAGAGATGCCTTTAGCAAGCAAAACAAAATAACTAAACAGATTTAAAAGGAAAAATTAACTTAGATAGACTTCCATTACAAAGAATATTGTATCAAAAAAATATCCTTCAACTCTACAATAGTTACGAGTCTATGACTCACCAAATGGGCAATGCACACAAATGTACACATCATCTATGCAATTACCTTCATAGCAGAAAAGAATCTAACATGGAGCACCATCAAAAACTGCCTCATGTAGAGCCTATGATATTGGCAGGTATCTTTCCCAGGTTACTCTTTGAATTTACAGCAGCTTGTCCAGCAGAAGTTTTAGTACTTGTTAACTCGGTTGCCATGACTGATTTCTTTATCTACGAAATAACAAAATACCAGATCACCTATTGAAAAAGTAATTTATATGACTTCTTTTAGTTAAGTTTCAACTTAGTCTAACACAACAATATTTGTGCATACAAACAGAAAAGCATTTGTAATATATCACAATAGAATCTGGAAGACATCAAGGCCAAAACTCACCACTGCAAGTCGCTCCTTGTGGATATCATTTGTAAGCTGAAAAGACCATCATAAAATACAGTTAAAAAAAAAAAACCTAAATTTATAGAGAATGTTTTCCTCCAACACAATAGCCTTTAGTCTACATTTTTTGTTAAGAAGGTAGAAGGATAACAGTAACCAGCCATAGTGAATTTTTTTACCGGTTTTCTATAGGTCTTAATCTCATCACAGCTGAACCCAGGAAGTGTCATATTCCAATTTCGTTCTGTATCAAGGCATAAAAACAGTTAATTAAGCACTAGATGTACAAAAAAAGGAATAAACAGAATAAAACACGATGAACTTTTCCTACATAACTAACCAACATGTAGAAGTATGTCTTTTGCTTCCAATGTATCTGACTTCCGATGCTTTGCTAATGAGCAACCAAATGTAATAATCTGATCAAAGAAAAAAGTGAATTTAAGAATGACTGCAAGTTGAAAGAACAACCAAATAATGTCTACGAAAAGCATGAAAAGTTATCCAAGTTCAATGAACTTGTCTAATATGGAAATTACATATTGCCTACGAACATTATTTAAGTATATGCACTATCGTAACTGTGACAAAGCCTAAGATATCTGGTTTATAAACCTACAGAAAAAATAAGTTTAAAAAAATTTGAGGTTAGAAAAAGTTCATGCATCTTTTATGTGTAAGATCCAATCCTTCAGTTCCCACAGGCAGATCAAATAAAAAAACAAGTCTAATTTGGTTTGTAACTCCTATAATTAGTGCTATATGATTTCATATTTTATAGTACAAACAATGCTCCAGTTTTCAAAAGAAAAAAATGAGGTAATGAAAATAATAAGTAAGAAATAATAAGAAGTATATAATAACATAATATTGAAGTCCACAAGGTGTCTTTGCTTGTGTCGCATTTTCTAAGATCATAAGAATCAAAATTGAACTACTCACAGACTCCACAAAATCTTCTGCAATATCCACAAGAATATCTTCGACTTCAGGATCCAACCTCTCTGATGGATCAATCTGTCAAAGAAGCATAAGGATCAAACAAAACTAAAGAGAAAAAAAATAAAAAGTCAAGGAAGATATCATGAACTCTAAGAGAACCAAACAAATTATAGTTAAGATAAGGAAATACAAGATTGAGTCCATCTAAAGCAAGAATGGATGAGCAAAGCCTTTGGAGACAAACAAATTCTTTTAAATGGCTATGGAGATTTCCTTTAAAAAAGAATATCTATTGCATGAGTTTATAGAGAGTATTTATGGTCTTCAAGAATATGGGTGATATTCTAATGTGTTGGTGTGGGTTTCATCAAGAAGACCATACTGCTGATATTCTAAATGTGTTGGTAAGGGGTTCATCAAGAAGTCCATGGACACTGTTGTGGGTTTCAAATAGTAAGAAACTCCAAGAGACAACTTTCTCTTTATTTACTTATAGGAAACATAGAGTTGTGTATTACTGTGAAAAAAAAAAAAATTAAACCCGTGTGACCTTGCAGAAAGAACAAAAAGACAAAGAGGAATTACTACAAATCGTTCTTGTAGAAACCTCTAAAGCCATTTAGCTAAAAGAGCCCCATATTTCTTCACATTCCCAACTCCTAACCCTCATTTGGCAGAGAGTCATCATATCCCACCTCATATGGTGGCAGCTCCTACCTTCTCCATATCATCTCATAAAATTAAGCCCAAATATTAAAGAGGCAAACTTCCAATCAATATCCCAAAAGCCTTGACAATTTTCTCTTTATTAAAATATTGGAGTACTAAAGTTACTTACATTTTATTTCTCTCATTGATTCTCTGTAACTTTTTTCTGTTTTACTTGTTTCCATAGGGTTTCTGGTTCACGTGATTTTTTGTTGAACTGATCTTTAATCCTTCAGTAATGTTGTTTGTTTCCAATATTTAAATAATAATAGTAATAAAGAATGCATATATCTTCAACCTACAAATTTATCATTATCCACGAGTACTAATCCACTGAAAGAATGGGAAAACTTCATTTACCTCCTATGACTAATATACAAGCAGAAATCTCGAGGGAGAGTAATGAAATCTACCCTAATAGAAATGTATTGCCAAAGAATGAAACTAATTTATGCATAAATTAATGTTACTCTTCACTTTAGCTAGGATTNATTGATTCTCTGTAACTTTTTTCTGTTTTACTTGTTTCCATAGGGTTTCTGGTTCACGTGATTTTTTGTTGAACTGATCTTTAATCCTTCAGTAATGTTGTTTGTTTCCAATATTTAAATAATAGTAGTGATAAAGAATGCATATATCTTCAACCTACAAATTTATCATTATCCACGAGTACTAATCCACTGAAAGAATGGGAAAACTTCATTGACCTCCTATGACTAATATACAAGCAGAAATCTCGAGGGAGAGTAATGAAATCTACCCTAATAGAAATGCATTGCCAAAGAATGAAACTAATTTATGCATAAATTAATGTTACTCTTCACTTTAGCTAGGATTTAAATAAGAATGAAACTAATTTATGCATAAATTAATGTTACTCTTCACTTTAGCTAGGATTTAAATACGTATTAAATTGTTTGGTGCTAAGATTAAAATACAACTTGGAACAGTGGGGCTCCACCTGTCTATTGATTCTATCTGCAGTACTCTTACAAAGGTGGGAAAGTTTTCTCATCTATTAGCTTGCATAGATGCAGCTGAAACAGGATATATGTAGAAAGTTTGTACTTTGTAGTATTTGAAGTCCACCACCTCAAATGAGAAATAAACTAATATATTTTCTGATTTGGAATGCAATAGAACTGGAAGAAATTGGAAGGTCAAATTCTAGCTTTGGTGACAGACCAGTAGCATATGATCGCAATCGTAAAAATTTGGTAGGACTGCTAATATGAACTTGAATTATAAATATTAAGAGAAGGCCACTATGTCTAACCTGGTTAACAAGCTCATTGATGCTTCTTTTGCTGACAATCTGATTATTAGATTCATCACTTTCTGCACTGACTACTCTACTCTGGGTCGCTTGCTGGACAGTGATAGGTTGTACCATTGAAAGAGAGGAAGGCTTATGAACTGCAGAAGTCTGGGCCCTTGAAATTTGTTGTTGATGTGGTAAAGATTGAGGGACCCTTGATGAGGGAAATTGTTGCCCATAAGACTCCTGCGGCTGATGAGATGGTTTAGGTTGTTGTGGCTGCACAGATGACACATGCTGTTGCTGCGAAGTTGTTGACAAAGGAACATGTTGCTGAGGAATATGTACCCTTTGCTGCATGGATGGTGAGCTCAACTGAGGTCTATATGAAGAGGGGGGTGGCAAAGGAGGCTTTCCTTGTGATCCAGAAGATAACCATGGCTGATTAAGGGACTGAATGCTTTGTGATGCATTTGGTGCAGTAGACCCAGGAGAGCCCACCGGTGAGACTCTCATAAGACCTTGACCTTGAAAATTCTACATAAAGTGGAAAAAAATAAATAGTAAACAAATGCCAAACGAAGACATCAAACCCAGAATTCACCAGAGGTATTCCATGAAACACAATAAGAATAGGTGATGAGGTTGCAAAGAAGATTAGATCTATCATAAAATTTTAACAAGCCATAGTCAAATCACAATATCAGTATTCCAGACAGTTCTAACTACATAATAAATCAGGCAGGCCTGTTTCTGTAGGAGATATCTTAATGGCAAATGGTAATCTGCTTCTGATTATATACAAGCAAAAACCAAATAAAGGAGGTCACAGTGACAGACACTCAGATTAAATCCAATGTCTGAAACCCTTTTTACAATCAACCAAATAAAAACTTACTAATTATTTTAATGAACAAAGGTTTCTCTATACTTACTCTCACTGCCAGAATTCTTCTGATTTATAAACGTTCCAGTTTCGATAGCCACAAACTTAGGCCATCAAATGCAGAATGACAATTTTAACATTATTATTTTGGTGTGAAACAACTACAGGTTTTCAATTGCCTACACAATACCTCGATTCACGGTCAGTTTGCACCCAATAATCAAGTTTTTTAGTTTCCCATAGCTACAGAAAGAAGTTATTTCTTTGTCCAAAACCTACATTGAATTATATATCACCTTACAGAAAAATTATTAATATTTTAATGCTTCAACATACAAAAATTTTGATGCCCGTTACGTATATTTCACCTTAAGAAAAATATGAAATTTGAGTTTTCAGACCTAATTTTCTAACTTCTAAAAGCCAGACCCTCTCCTCTCTTTTTGGCAAGGCAAATTTGAACCTAATTTACATGTCACAGTCATTACCACTCCTTTACCTCTTGCGACTGATTTTTCCACCTAGTTAACATTATAATCTTACTCACGACAGTTTAAGATTATAATGTAGTTAAAAATCAGCACAAATGCCGAGTTCCAGAAAGGACCATTCCTGACCTGGGTAGCAGGGGGTTGGCTACTTGGGGGCGATGGTGGTGGACGAAGGGATGATTGTTGTGTGGGCCTCTGCTGATGGTGTTGAACAGAAATCCCACCAGGCCGCAATTGTGCACCAGAACCTAGTGATCCTATCATTCCCATCCCCTGAATTCCTTGCACTTGTTGCCTTGCCTACAAATTTGAAAAACAATTAATCAAGTGAAAAAACCACACATATACGCCCACTCAATATTCAAAACCAAACTTAATCATCACCCTGAATAACTATAAATGTCATTTTAATAACAACAAACAATGAAGAAAACGATAAATTAAATCAAAATAACTCACAGAAACAGACCGCCTAAACCTATATTGAAAAAAAAAAAAAAAAAAAAAAAAACTATTAAAAAAAAAAAGCTACTAAAATCACTTAATAACTATACCAAGAATAGTGTATAACCTCAATTCTTCTAAAGCAAGAAAAGAAAGAAAGAAAGAATCCAACCTGCAATAGACTTGAATTGAAGACTAACTCAAGCACATTAACAACTTCTTCGTTTTTTTATCTAACACTAGGCTTTAGGATTGTGTTTCTTAAAACATTTTAACTCAATTCAACCAAATGCAGTGTATTTAAATATTACATCAGATGGACCCTAAAATAACGTATAATTTCAATTATTCTAAACAAAAACCTGCAATGGACTGGAATTAGATAATGAATCAGGCACGTTAACTCCAGTCCGGCCCAAGCTACCAAACTGCTGACCGAAAGAAGCCGAGAAGGACGGTGTGGGTTGCGAAGAAGACGCCGCAGGGCGGGGCGCCGGAACGCCAAGGGCAATGCCACCCCTCTGCGGCGCGGAAGCAGAGGAAGACGGAGAAGAAGAAGGGGAAGAAGGAAGGGAAGAGAAGTGAGAAAAATGTGAGGGCTGTTGTTGTTGTTGCTGCTGCCAGGGTCTGGAAAATGAGGTCGGTCTGGGTTGTGGTGTGAGTGTGGGTTTTGGGGGTTGGGGCTGATTAGAGTTAGGGTTAGGGTTTGATGTAGGGGTTGGAGGAGTTGAGGTGGTGGAGGGTAACGGTGATGGTGATTCTTGTTGTTGTGGCGGTGGTGGTTGTACGGGTGGTTCAGCGGTGGTGGTGGGAGGTGTAGGAGTTTGTGGTGGTGGTGGTTGTTGTTGGTCCATGGAGGAATGGAGGAAAAATTGGGATGAGGATTGTTCTGGGAATTATGGTTATGGTCTCTCTGTGGGTGTTAGGAAATTGTTCTCTCGCCCTCTTTATGCAAAAATGGCTCGTTTAAGTACGAGATTCAATTATTTGTTTAAATTTAGCTGGGTTATTATGCTTTATATCTCCCTGACAATGAAAAATAATAAAATATTAAAATAAAATATTTATTATCAGTTTCCTCTTATGAAATCTAAATCGCTAACAGCCGTAAACGCCTTTGTTTTAAGAAATATTCAATTATTGAGAATATTGAATTACTAAAAATTTAGATTCCTTTAAAAATTATTAGAAAAAATGTGTTTAGTTAGTTTGTATAAATTGATACATATGTTATATTAATATATTTAATTGAGAGGAATAAATTAACGGATATATTATTTAAATTATTAAATTATCTTCTTTTTAAATATTAATATAATATTATTTTTATTATTAATTTTTAAATAATTTCTTTTAACCCTCAATATTTCATATTTAACTAAAACACCCGTTTATATAAAACTTTAATTTATAACAAAATAACCCCTATCACCCTAAGTCATTGCCAACCATCGTCGACCGCCACCAGAAAGTCACCGGAGTCGCTAAAAATGGTTGAGAGTCGCTGGGAGGCTCTGTTATGGCCCATCCTAGCCAGATCTATTCTGGCCATTTTCGTCTAGATCAATGGATCTGGCCGTTAACGGTCATATCTCATCCATATATGGCCAATAAACCCATTTCCGGTCAGATCTACTCTGATATGGCCTTTTTGGCTATCAATATGACCAAAAAAGGCTATATCAGAGCCTTATAGTGTCTCTCAACTACTCACGGCGACTCCAAGTGACTTTCGACGGTGGTTTGACTGGCGACAAGTGGGTGAGGGTGGTGGCTTGGGTAAGCTGCAATTTGTTTTGAATTCAAGGGTAATTTTGTCCAAAAAGTTAATTAATTAGGGTGAAATGGTAAAAGTCAGATTCATGTAAATAAATTTAAAAATAAGGGTATTATTGTCCTAAAATTTTATTAATAAGAGATAGAATTGTAACAAAAATAAGATTACCTTGGTAATCTTACAATATCTAAGAAAATTAAGGTTATCAAATTACCTCCAATATTACCAACCGTAAACACTATTGGTATTTAAAGATTATCGGAATCTTATATTACTTGACAATCAAACGCAGTAATCAAGTAATATAAGATGACATAACTCCAATAATCCTATATAACCTCCAATCAAATGCCCCATAAGAAAAAAATCTAGAAACCTCCCATCAAGTTTGAGAATTACTCGAGGAATCTCCCATCAAGGTTGAGAATTACTTTAGGAATAATGTTAGTCTTACTCCCCCTTCTTACTCCTTTCTCTTAGTGAGTTTATTTACTACACTGCATTATTATATATGAATTTGTGTATGATGTGTTATGAATTGTAGGTCCATAATGAGCAATTTTGTAATACCTAAGATGTCAAAGGTATGTTCCAAACTCAAAATAGTTCTTTAGATGTTAATTTTATGTTAAAAAGCATAAAATCTAACTAAGGGCAAAATAGTCAGTTCATTTGGAACGGTATGAATCAATTATCCATAGAAATGTATTAGGGGAAAAATAGTTATTTTTCCTATGGATAAGCATTGAAAAAGTCAAGGATAAATAGGCTTAATTGCATTTAATGACATTAATTAAGTAATAATTATGTTTAGTGCGAAATGACCAAAATGCCCTTATATAAAGAATTAAGAACTTATGAGTTATACAATTAAAATAATTAGACCAATAGCATAATTTTGGAAAATTCTTGAAATTCGTTCAAGCCAAGGGAGATAGCATTTCTTTAACCTTTCTTCTATTTTCTCTCAAATCTTCCATGAAACAAGCTTTCTCTCTCTAAGCTTTAAAGGAGTTTTGCATAGTTTTTCAAAGAGAACAAGATAGAAGCCTTGGATCTTCCAATTGAAGGGTTTAAGGTAAGGATTAAAAACCATAGTTTTGATGTGATTTGAAGATTTGAAGTAGATGTTGAGGTCTCATGTTATATATGTAGGATTAAAGTGTGAAAGAAGACAAAAACAAAGGATTTGTTGGAGGAATTTTTTAAAAAGGTAAGGAAGAACCTCCTATGACTTTAGGGATTATGCTAGGGTTTGTAGATTTAATGAAACCTTAAATTAAGACTTTAAGACATAGAATTAGTTGATGGCAAGTGTAGTTGAACTCATTTATTCTATTTATTGCCTTAAATTCATTATACATGAAGTTATTGTTATTTATGTTTTATGAGTTGTTATGTTTGATTGAAGAAAATGAAGTGTAGATGTTGATTGTGGCAAAACTTGTAGTATTGGAGGCCACATGGTGTTGAATGGTTGCTATTAGCAGTGTTCATATATTGTTTGCATTAACTTACAATGTTATAACAATAATTGATGATTATGAGAATGAGATTTTACACTTCCTTTAAGATGTTAAAGACTATTAAGGGGAGGTTTATTTTATCCATAAGTTGACATATTGGTTAATTGTCAATAAGAATTGATGTGGCATAGTTTAATATGAAAAATTCGGATTTGGTAAGCTTAGGGGTTATGTTAAACATGCTTCAGTATTTCGACCATAACTTGAGTTATAAAAATTGAAATGAGATGATTCTTGAAGCACTAGAAATTTAAGACATAGCCCTACAACTTTTATGTTTAGGCCAAGAGCCAATTCATTTAGAAAATGGATGGAAAATGGCCTAAGTATAAGCTTCTAGTTATTAAAGTTTAAGATTTAACATAATTAATTCTTATGATTATGAATTGATTATATATTGACGTGATTAAGCCATGTACTAATGTTTACCCATTAGCTAGATGATCTTTGAAAGATACACATGGTCATGATGTCAATGCATGATTAATGTTATGAAATGGCATGAAGATGCAATGTGATACATGTTTTAAGAGCAAGAGGTAATGTAAATGGATTAATAATCCATAGATGAATCAAAAGTATTAAGCTCACTAAAATATGTATTTACATGCCATAAGATATTAGAGATGCATATAGCATAATGGAAAACGTGTAAGCATATCCTCGTATACCGATTGAAGAAAGATGAATATATGCTTTAGATGCTAAATAACGCGTAAGCACGCCTCCTAATGATATGAGCTCTAGATGAATTTGAGGCTAGATGATATGAAGTGTTTAAGACGCTAAGAAAAGTCCGATAGGCTACACGTTAAACGTTTCATATGCATTTAGTTGCATTACATAAGTTATGATGTTATTTACATCATGAGATGATTTATTCATGTTAGATAATATTTAGATGTTATATCATGACATGTAATGTGTGTGTATTATGTTTACATACTTATTTGTATGTATATGCATTGATGTTTATATAGTTATAGAATAAAATGATGAAAAACATATAAATTAGAAAGATAAGTGGTGTGTTAACAAATATGTTTAAATAAAGGTCAAATAGCACATTTAGAATGAAATTGATCATTCCTCACTGAGCGATTAATGCTCATCCTTTCATTGTTGATTATTTTGCAGGTAGACCAGAAGCGAAGGATGCTAGAGACAGCGGGGCTACACGTGAGGGGAGATGATTTATTGTCATCTTGATGTTTTTATCTAGATGTAAATAATGTAAATAATAAATGTTTGTGAAACACCTTTGGAAGCTTCCACCCTATAAATATGTTTTGACTGTACAATTTCCGGATAAATTCTTAAAGTTTTTGAAGTTATAAGTTTGGATCTTGCGTGACATCTTATATGAATGTTTTGGATATTATTATTATTATCTTACACAAGTTTTTTCTAAATACAACTCATTCTCCAGACATGTATCCCTGGGATTCTCATTGAGGGTTATTCAGATGATACCTGACTGGAGGGGGTTTTTACAAGTTTATCATTTCTAGTCCATTCAAAGGGAAATATATACTCATTCCCCTTTGTGAAATTGCATGAGTGTGTTGTCCTTAGAATTGCAAATAACAAAGTTAAGTAAAAAGAAGAAAAAACTAAAAGAGAAACTTTTAAAAAATAAATTATACAGTTACCTATAATGGAAGAAAAATGCTACGGACACCAACGCTTTGCATTAAATTTTTACACCGAACGATGTGTCCACTGAATCAGACGAGTCACGTATCACGTTAACAAATATTCCGCGAATGAACGGTCGTCCATTGTTATTGGATGGTCGTTTATTTGAAATGGACTCTCGTCCATATTATATTGATGGTCGTCCACCTAGAAGTTCATAGTTTAAACTAAAAAAAATTGGCCTAAATTGTTTATGGACGCTCGTCCTCTTATGAGGACGGGTGTCAATCTTTTAATATTAACAAATTTTAAATTTATTTAATGCATTAATTGTGAATCCTAATTGAGTTAGTGCCCTATTCTTATGACACTTGTCTAATTACTTTGAATATAGACAAAAAATTAATGAAGATAGCGACATTTACTTTTTGGATTGAGACTCAAATGTTGAAAAAAATTTTAAATCAAACAATGGATAGGCGTCCATCTAAAAGGGATGCATATCCATTGAATATGGACGTCTGTCCATATAATATATGGATGGACGTCCATAATTTTTGTTTTAATTTTTTATTTTATTTTAAACAATGGACGGGCATCCATTCTAGGTGAACGCCCGTCTATTGTTATTTTCTCATGGACGGGCATCCATTATAGGTGAACGACCGTCCAATAATCACATACGCCCATTTTTTTGCTTTTAAATTTTTTTGAACCCGTCCATCGTATATGGACATATGTCTATTATTTTTCTTTTAAAATTTTTTGGATGGGCATCCATCTTATATGAACGCCCGTCCATAATAAATGGACACCCGTCTATATAATATGAACGGGAGTTTATTAAATATGGGCAGACGTCCATAAATGTTGGACGGCCGTTCATTCACAAAAGATTCCAACATGATCTCGTCTAACTGGTTGTCATGTCCTTCGGTACAAAAATTCGGTGTAAAATTTCGGTGTCTGTAGCATTACTCATAACAGAAACAAACAGAGATGAAGGGATGATGGAGAATAATTCTGTGGGACCCACC